TGCAAACTTCCTTAATCCCAAGAAAAACCGACGACAGTGACAAAAATCTTTTCCATGATAATGAGAAATATCTACAGTAGAGTCCATTGTACGATTCCGACAATATCATAAGTATGTATTTATGAACCTAAAACCTGTTTAATATCTTAATGTACTAAATATTCGTTTGCGCACAAATATGAAGAGCTTTCGTGACAGCTTTAGTATGAATACTGAGCCACATTCTAAATAGTCCAAAATATACAATGAACAAAACAGGCATTTCTTTGCATTTCATAAGAATGACCAAATGAAGGGCGAAATTTATATGTATTGAATTTAAGAAAATAAACAATTTGGACTAATTGAGACTGCCTTGTTTGACCACATTAGGCATGTGGTATTTTGGTCAAATTTATTGAATTCAACATTTTAATCGTAATCTCTTCTATTGCCTTGGGCGAGCAGCACAGAATAGAGATGAATTCATTTGGTCCTGGTTGTGCGATTAACATAATCTATCCGATTAAAGAAGATCGCATCTTATGCTAAGCCCTAAGAAGGATCATCTTTAAGGGTTCATGTCCCTAGTCTCTTGCCATTTCTGTCTGGGCATGATCTAATGTCGCGAAGTCAGTACAGCTTTCGCCTTTTAAATATGTCTCCACGCAGTTATATTTGTATATAGCCGTTCTAGGTGATAAAGGAATTGATTTCTGTAAAGATTTTGTACATTTTCGATTTACACCGTGCTACATAATGCACACAGAACACAATTCTCACTTAGTTGTTTCATGATAAATTCGTAATTAGAGAGAGATGTGTGTGTCGTGCTCGTGGATATTTTGTAAAAGTATTGGTATGCGAGAGGGGTTGTTTAATGTTTCGGTCTCTCTATCTGTACAGACATACACATGGAATAAGTATTTTATCGGCAACTTACTTACTTAATTGAGGGTTTAACGTGCGCTTTCCGACAAAAGCGTATTTCGCGCATGGGATGCTTAATAAATTTTAGAGAAAAAAAATGAAATTTGAAATATGCCATGCAAAAGGTATTGGCAACTTGGTGTTTTTACATGCGCTTTCCGACTTCATGCGTATTTCGCACTATCGGCAACTGCTGGGGTGCTGCGTAATGTTCTAGACATCCAGAAACATTGAAATAACATTGAAGTATTGCCCCAAAGCTAATTAGAACTCAATTAACAAATCACAAGCTCTAGTTGTGATTGCGATCCACGCTTTGATTCGTGACGTATTTATTGCTGGAACAATATCAGGTGCGAGAAGAACCTCTGACAGGTAACTCAATTAGACCGGCGTCTCGGTGTCAATGGTGCAATCAGCATTGTGAAAACCTATCACTCACCAGATAATTAGTACCGTCGCGACAGTAGGAGCAGATGATGTCAGCTTGTGACTGATTCATACTGATGTAAAGTCGCCATTATTGGTTCGAACCTCATTGGCTGAACTAAATAAACAAAGTCGGTGGAATATGGTTATATTCGGCTGCATGCAGTAGGCCTATACCTCACACAACGTACAACATTACAAACCAACCTAAATCCAAATAACGCTCTTACCTTAGAAGCAATCCTTAACCCCCAAAATAAAATAGAAAACTTCAAAGCCCTAGGCATTTACCTAACCAAAACAGAACTAATTAACCGTATTTAAAACTTCACTAAACCACCAACACTTAACATCAAAAAAACATCAACTCACCCCCACACACTCCCTTAGTCCCAACCACTCCCCCAAGGCATGTATTCCAAATCTCAAAATTTCAAAACTTTATATAAGCAACCACTAAACCCCCCTCCTTGGTTGCACTCCTCTTGCTACCACTTTTATACCACTAAATGGCCCGGCCGGGCCCGTGTGCGAAATACGCTCCAGTCGGAAAGCGCACGTAAAATCTCCTAATATAAGTAAGTAAGTAAGTAGGCCTATACTAACAATGGATGTCCCTCAACAACTACTTCAGCCCCTTACCATCGACACCAACATCACTTACGATCTGGATATGTCCAAGTTCCCAGGTGTAGACGACCCACAACACATGTACCACCCTGCTCTGTTGATAGCATCTCCCGAGACCTACAGGTCATGGTTGTTGGCTTTTGAAGACCACGGCACTGCGCCTGATCATGAAACATGTGAAGCAAACGACTTATTTGAACTCATAGGTATGTCACGAACTTTACTCTATCGCGATAATGGCTGTTAGTAATGTAACATAATCTTTGTAAATGAATGCGATCAATAAGCGTTACTGTTGGCATACAAAATTGTGACAATTATTGTTGTCGAAAGACTCGGTTTGTAATATGCTATTTTCTCCTGTTTGCAGAGACCTGCGATTTTAATGAGACCTCAGATATTGGTCCGGATTCCGAAGCTTTGGACAACTTCCTTGATGATGTCATAGACTGTACCACAGTGGAGGACATATTGTGCTCGTCCATTATTGTCATTACAGAAGATCTCCCTCCAGTGAACACTTTAACAAGCGTGGCATCAAATAATGGCACGGGGCATCCTGCAGTAAGATGTCGTAAACGGAAATCTTCTGATGACGAGCAAGTTATGGATCTTAAACGGAACAAGATCACCGATGATTCCGTGTTGCTGCGGAACGTAGTGGAAAACTTGTACATGTCCTACCTACCCACTCAGCAACCTTGCGGCTGCCCCAGGGAGTCCTGAAGACGCCAAACCTAAGAACATCCTAATTAAAAACATCACTGACTCTGCAAAAATTTGTGAAGGTGCAATGGATATATTCCTGAACTAGCTATAGAAAATGGAACTTGATGACAGTGCTGATTTACATCTTGTGATATGTTTTGCTGAATTTGCTATTTGCTTGTTAAATCTGTTATTTTTATTGTGCTATTCATGGAAACAATAAAACTTGACCAATGTATTAGTGACTAGTTACGTGATATTTAAAGATTCTAATTTTCAAGAATGAATGATACACGAAGAGCTGTTTCGTAATAACGAAATGACATAGCATGATGAATTCACAGAATAAATGTGAAAAAAACTTTTATGCATCACTATCAAAAAGTGATGATAGTTACTTGCGAAAAGGCGACCGTATCCTGCCCTATCGGTGGCACCCGTCATAAACACATGCAAAGGCAAGTCAATTGTGTATCTAAAATTTTACTTGTACCATATGTCCCCCTTTTATTTTTATTTTTTTGATTTGCCTTTGAATGTGTTCGTGGTGGGTGCCAACAGTGGGATAGGATATGCTTACATATGCCAACACATGGGCACACCAGAAGCCTATTATTGTAATTTCGAATTTCTGGTTTTGTCAGCACCATACCCGTGCTCGTAGGTTTCGCCAAAGTGGACAACACTGCATCACTTCAGGCTTTCCTCCCTTAGGAAGCTGACACACCGCGGCATGATATAACTGGAATACCGTCATAAGTTGAGTCAGACCAAACGCACTCACTCCACCGGGTTCCGACCTGTGCTCTGATAAATATGTGACCCGTGAACATTCCGTGAACCCGTCTTCAGCAACCCATGCTTGCCGTAAAAGGTGGCTATGCTAGTCGTAAAAGGCGACTAACGGGAGCGGGTGGTCAGGCTCTCTGACTTGGTCTGAAGCATGCCATCGGTCTCAATTGCGTGGATCGATGCTCATGATATCAATCACTGGATTGTCTGGCCCAGAATCGATTATTTACAGACCGCCATCATATAGCTGGGATATTGCTGAGTGCGGCGTTAAACAACAAATCAATCAACCAATTGATAATTATTTAAATCGGAAGATTCACTGATGCTTCCACACAACTCGTAGTCAACACTGCAGCAAAACTGTATGCATATCCAAAATTGTGACTCACATATGAACACCGATTTATAATCTAAATTTTACTGGTGCGACTACACATCTAATGACTGTTAATCGGTTTTAATTATTTTAATGTTCATTATATGGTTCAATATATAGTATTGTTTCTACATCACATTGTGCATACATCCCAATTTGACTACGAAATTAATGTAGGCACATTGGGAACCCAATTGTGTAAATGGAATGAACCTATTGTTAGACTAATTTTCTCAGGATAAAAGTCAATATCTGTTGCCCAATTCAGGCTTGTACTGTTGCAGATACCTGAATAAACTTTTGGTAAATAAATAAAACGGAGTAAAGGAATTATTACTATATAAACCGAAACAACAAAATGATATGGAACCAATTAACTATTTTAAGATCACTGCAATTTACGTTTTATTTCATTGTTGTAAAAACAAGCCACATCTTAAGCTGAGGAGACTTGTTAATTCATATGACTGTATAATCTTTATTTTCTTCCAGAGATCAATACAATTCACGTTTTAATCCATTGTTGTTCAAACCAGCCAGATCCTAAGCTGATTATGGACAAGTTTATCTCATATCACAGGTGAAACAGGTATCAGTCGTGTACTTTCTGAGAAGTTATCATTTCATGACTGTAGGCACCGATTAAATTGATCTCCCAGATATACAGATATTCTGATTAATAATGTCCACAAATGAATTTGATAAATTTGATATGTGTATATGATATGAAAATGTCTTATAATTCGTAGTGTTAGTATTTGTACATGTTTGTATCTGGTCTCTCGTAATTACGTGCACGTGCATTATTGATAACGTATATTTTATATTTTAATGGTGTACATGCAGTGATGCGTTACAAAAGTAGCTGTATGTCTGCCCCTACACTTGAATCAAGAAATCAGTTTTGCTGGTGGTTTGATTTACATGATTAAGTATTTGGTTGGGATTTGTCTCTCCCTCGGTGTATTCTGCAAATGACAACCCATGTGAAGTAACATCGCTACTTTCCTATGGGTTACATAGACCACCATTTCATTGGTGAAAAGCACCGGTCTTTCATCGTCTTCAAAATGACAATCAGCAACAAGACAATAAACACCAAGGACTGGACAATATTGAGTTGTTTATTTTCAGCGATTGTGAATATCGCACATGCACATGTATTGTTAGCTCGTGACATTTGTATCTTTGAGAATATCCTTAATACAAACATGGTTTCACACGCTCTTGAGAACTCACGTACGACAAAGAGATACACTAAAGGCAATACAAGCAACACATGATAATGAATACGATCATTCAACAATGGATATCGATGAATCAACGTCTGCATTGTCCCACTCGTCTTGGCACCACTTTTCTCCTGTCAGTATTTGCGACTTTTGATTCATCTTGGGGAGATTCACAAGAGTCATCTGAGAGAGTCTTGCATCTGAGCCGTTTCTGGGTGTCATCTCCACGCGACAGGTGATCTAAACGCTTCCTCTTTCCTGAAAGGGTTCCTCTTTTCACGGATGCTTCAGACAGTAACACACTGTCCTCGACCTGTGTCCGTGGAAGCCAAGAACACTGCAAATCAGAGGCAGCATTGTCTTTGTCGGATAGGGTTTGTAATAGGGTGTCGTATGTGACACACTGGCCTTCGTTAACGTCTGGGTAGATCAGGTTGTTGAAAATCATGTCCAAAGTGTACTGTGAGGATCTGCTGGAGGATGATTCGTGGTTATCAGATTGTTGGTTGCAGTCGTTTTGGCTAATAGATATTTGTTCACGATTCTGTCCATCTGAAAGTACGAAAGAAGAAGAATGTCAATAATTGGTTTTGCAGGGATCTCGTCCACCATACTTCAGTCATTTGAGAAGCGAACCACAAGACAACCCCTCCACCCCATTTAATAAAGTATGGCATAAGCAACTTTTGAATACACTTTTGGATAAAGTGCGCCGTTTTTAAATAAGTGGTCCTTTGCTAAAATGGTTTGATGTTTAATACAGTTCCAAAAGTATTAATAAACGGGTATATTTCGGAATTTAAGCCTGTGATTGGGGCGTACCTCAAGGATCGGCGTTGGGACCATTATTATTTCTTATATTCATATATGACCTTGGTAATATAGACATGGTGACTTAGAAAGAATTTTATTCTGGACATGCAATCGGGAAAAATCGCAGAGCAATAAAATCCTGTAAAAATATATAAAAAAAACAGTTATTCATGCAAGGTATTCCTATTACAGAAGCTGAGACGCGTAAACATTTAGGATTTTCCACAAAAAATCCAACGATGCTGACGTGAATGCTCATATAGATTCAATTAGTGACGTGCCGATGAAGATTCTTACACCGCTATAAAGCTCGAGAGACTTCAATTTAACCAAGTAATGAGAGTAGATATACATGATATGTTGTGATACATCGCTTCATGCAATAAATAAGAAGTTGTGACCCATAAAGTTGTATTCTTTGTCCTACAATGACAATACATTATTGAACGCAAGGGGATTCTGTGTTCGTGTATAAGTGCTAGATATGTACAAAAAATGACTTGACAATTACACTAAAACTGTATAGAACTTAGCAATCATCGGATACGTGATGCGATTAAAGATCTAAAAGCGGTTTGATTTAATACGTGTCAATAAATATCGCTTGCCCGAAGGTAAATGTCCCTCACAGATCAATTTAAAGATCACTGTCACGAAATATATATGTTTAAACCAAGTATATGTTACCCATGTTAGAGAAGACGTCTTGTAGAAGACTCTCGCTTAGACAAGGCATATCCATGTTGCGGTAACAGATTCAGGCAGATCCTCTATGGGTGTCGACGGGTGATCCTATGTTGTGGCTCACGAGTGGAGGTTGGCACAAGATGACCCTGCGTCGTGGTATAGCTAAATATAGATAAGGTGAGATGACAGTGAGTGAGGTCTCACTTGCTCATGGTATTATGTTTTGTCATGAGTTGTAAACCTCTAACAGTGTGTGCACCAATTCTTGAAGATTATGTGACAATGTTGTTTATCCGTTTTAATTGGTGAAGTACCAACACCACTTAACGTCCCTGACACCATGGCCTCAATCTCATTGTGCTGGACGCCGTTTCAAATGCACTGAGATATGCAAGCCCAATCTCCCGCGGCTTATGGCGGAAGGTGTGGATAAGGATTCTGCTAGGATTTGAAGTAAAAACCTTGCAAAAACAGCCATAGGTGATAATCTCCTATTGATCTACAGATAGCGGTATTATAACACTTTAGGGTGGAATTAAGAAATTGAGGTATAGAGATTACTTCGGCGTGTTCATGGTTAATACAAGGTGTACAACAGTTACCGAAAGCGCAGTGGGCTTCTTTAATAGGATAGCTGCGCCAAGCTTGGACCATTGTTGCTTGTGGATTAAGGTGTATTGAGGAAGTCAGTTAGTTATATATTCAGAATCTGAATTGAAATTGACAATCCTTCCGACTCCGAATGGGCATGGCCTCAGCCCTCCATAACCAAGAATCCCAAAACCACCAAAAAATCCTAATACTTACCGACTCCATAAGTGGACTGCAAGCCCTCCAAAACAAAAATACCAAAATCCGACCTAAATTAATAAATCAAATACTTAAAAGCTCCGACGACCTAACTAAAGCAGGCAAACAAATAACATTCTTATGGATCCCCGCCCACGTAGGAATACACGGTAACGAAAACGCCGATAAAGCAGCTAAACTATCCCTCAAAATCCCAGAAATAAGCTTAAACTTACCCATCTTACAAGCAAAAAATGGCATAACCTATATCTAAACTCAAATAGCCAAATCAAAAAAGTACTCAGCAAACAACTAACCAAACCAAACATTCTCCATCCATAAAAAAAATGGACAGAGTAATCACGCGAAATACGCATCAGTCGGAAAGCGCACGTTAAATCTCCAAAGTAAGTAAGTAAGTAAGTAAGTAAGTAAGTAAGTAAGTAAGTAAGTAAGTAAGTAAGTAAGTAAGTAAGTAAGTAAGTAAGTAAGTAAGTAAGTAAGTAGCCAAGCTTGGATCATTGTTGCTTGTGGATTCAGGAGTATTGAGGAAGTCAGTTAGTTATATATTCAGAATCTGAATTGAAAATTAGTACGTTTTCTGTCATATATCTGTAAATGTACATCAATCTTTATGATTGAATGGTAGAGAATAATCAGTCTCGAATATCTACCCCAGATTTCATATGGCGTACATGGCACAAAAGAGATGATAATCATATGACTGTGTCACTAAAAATCAATCACCATTTATTTGTAAACAATATGATAAAAATTAATATTGAACAAGATGATGGTTATACTGTACAAATATTGGGTGACATTTAACCTTTTGCTTGAAAATCTGTACGAACATATAAACAGAAACACATCCATAAAACACACATATATACAGTCAGAGGCAAAGGTACTTATCTATTATGCATATGAATTTTGCAAGGTCCATGATTTATTTTACATTTCTGGTACTCAACAAGTTTTTGAATTTTATTATATTTGGAAACTGCGTATATTTATTCGAGATAAGTTTCAATCTTGATTCACGGAAAGCTTCACATTTAAGCAGGTGGTGGAATTCATGGGCTATAGCTGACGACATACACAGTGTACATGTTCTCAATTCTCTGTCAATAATTAAAAATCAGTGTTGACCCTTGCATACGCATGCCATGCTCTACCGGTAGCTAGCAATTTAGATATTTTGTACATTGTGTCGTGCCGATTTCACGAATGCATCGGGAAAAGTGTTTCCGAAGCAAGAAAAACAGAGCGAGGTTCTGACACGAGGTTCGTGACATAAATATGAATGTTATAATTCATACGCATCAGACTTAGCTGTATTGAAGAAATAGTGACTTTAATATTGAAGTGCCAACATAAAGTCAACAATATGCTGTGATACACACAAATATATATATAGTGGCGTCTACTTAGCATTTGTCACCTAAAAATTATGACTTTGATTGTTTACATATTGTTACGAAAAGATTCAAGTTTGTAATATACACGATGGGTGTTCAGTGAAGGCTTACATGTTGACATTTATTTTTTAACCAGTGCAGGCTTGCCAGAATGTACTGTTTTAGAAGGAGCTATACTCATCCGCAATAGTCCTCACAGCATTACAGAAGAGAAGAAGAAGATATTTTATTAAAGTGTCACACACATATAAATGTGTCCGGCCAGATTTGGCCTATGAGACACTACAATTCAATAAATGTCTGTTAAAACATATTTTAAGATATTGGTTTAAAATATATAAAGGTAACAATGACAATTATCTATCACGTATGCTGAAAGGATGTGAAATTGTTAATAAATAAGTTAGTAATGTACATAATTATATATAAGCAAGTGTCGACCTTCGTCGGTCGAACATTTGCGACACCATGGCAGCTAGGGATGTGATGTTATTGTCATAATTCAGCAGGCGGATAACCTTTTGTAATGAAGATTTTCCCAGAAACGTCAGGTCAGTCGTATATATTTTGTTAAAATGATTATGCCGCAAATCGGAGTAGAAGGGGCAATCTACGAGAAAGTGAACCTCATCCTCGACTGCGCGATTGTTACATAATTTGCAAATACGGTTCGCAAAATGAGTTTAAAATAAAAGTTAAATGTGCTAATTAGCGAACGCTGATGAGGGCACAGTAAATCAATCTAACTGTTTATCTATAATTCTTGGCAAAGTGTTGAGTCATGGCATCATTATTTCTGTGACAGCAGTAGGTGTGAGTGACAAGTAATACAACCAAGGCTTTCTCGTTCTGAGTCACTGGTGCTGTCGTCATAGCATCTTAATCAGCCTGCAGGTAGCGTCGCGACAGAAATAATATACTACTTGTTCCAGTGACTGAAATATATGTACGTCAGTAAACCGTGGCTCAACATTCCTATTCTGACTTGAACCATATGTTCCCTTGTTTTTGTTCAGGTGAACAAGGGGGCACGGGTGGCCCAGTCGTCTAAGGCGCCGCGATTCGCTGTGCAGAGTTGCGTCCCTTGGGCACACCAGAAACCTATGATTGTGGGTTCGAATCGCGGTTCGCCCCGATTATGTTTCTAGGTTTGTCAGCACGATACCCGTGCTCGTGGGCTCCGCCGAAGTGGTAAACGTCTTAGACCTGCATCACTTCGGGCTTTCCTCCCACATTAAGCTGACACGCCGTGATATAACTTGAATACTGTTAAAAGCGGCGTTAAACCCAACTCACTCACTCAGGTGAACAATTGTCTTTTCGCGAACGCCTGGTAGCATCACTATTCGATAGAGATTCAATAACATATATGATGTCGTTAGAAACGTACAATGGACAAAAGAACTCTACATTTAGTAGAAATCTGTTATCATTGTCATTTTGTTGTCGCTTTTATTTATTTTGGTTAATAAGACATCACTTCTGATCAAGACGGCTGTAAAAAAAATGACCAACGTTTTGGGTTCACTGGTGAAGGCTAAATGATTGAATAAAAAATTTGAAAGCCTCGGTCAATTGCGCGTTGAACAGTATTTTATGGCTGTGTCTTATAAAGGCGTGTCAGTTGAATGTGAGAGAAAAGCCCGAACGGTGGGTGTCGTACATGTTTACTAGGTTTGTGAGTTAGAGAGTATGGTTTTCCATCGCTTAAAGTAATATACCAGTAATATCACGGCGGGGGACATCACAAATGGAGTTAACATATTGTTTCCATGTGAGGAATCGAACGCAAGCTCTCGGCTCAGCTTCAATTCAATATTAAATAGATTCCAGCGTTCTTAATTTTATTCATTTAAAAAAATCAGGAAAAAAACATTTTTGTCAATTACATGGCAAATAAACATGGAGCATGTGATAACTGGTTATCTCAATAACTATAAACAATTAGGAAAGCCAATGAGATAAAATAATAACATTTATTAATAATAACTTACAACATATATTAACAACGTGACCAAAAGAAACTAAATTAACGCTTGAACATTGTCATTCGTTTATATGTAGGCACCTTCATTCTTATACCGTGATGCATGCCATGTGCCACACCTGGATGACTATAAAAATATATAATGTCAAAACATGTACGTCATATCGCGAGGTGTAAAACAACATTGATGTTTAAAGGTCAAATAGGGTTTGTCAGAAAATATGTTTTGAGGTTTACAAATCTCGTAGCGACCCATGGATACATAGTGACTGTATCTGATAATATATGTTTCATTTTGAAGTCACTGTAAACCACTTTTTAAAAATCATAATGAATAATGTGTTATGATATCAATAAAACAGAATTATGACGATATGGGTAAAGCAAAGTAAATAATGGACAATGTAGCTTAGATCATCGTAAAATTGATAAACTTAGTAAAGCGCTTTATGCAGATACCACGAATTATAAAGACTTCAAACTTTTTATGAGTTCACGTAATATTAGTTACGGTATACAGATGTAAACATTAAAAAATGTACGTGTGCATATATACTGATATCCAAAATATTTACATATGGGTACGTGTTAATAAGGACGCGGGGAACATTGGTTCAACAAGTGTAACAACTTAATTTCAATCCTTTTGTAGAAATCTTTCGGATTTGCCACTCTATGAAGCTTTGAGTCAGGTTACATTAACTAGCATTGGGTTAAAATGTGACCTTGTATTGATAGTACTAAACTCTGGTTTATTTATTGTAAAAACAACCGTACCAAAAGCGGAATATATTGAACCAACAATCGCATGCCTGTAAATGGTCAACACTAATTAAAGTCTAATTAACAAATCAAAACCGTCACTGCAATCCATTAGTTGACTCATGACGTGCTTATTGCTGGAACAATGGTAGATAAGAAAGAAACAACTGGCAA